AATGGGACATGATGGTATACAGACGGCCCTGTACGCCGACGATACCTGTATTTATAAAACATCGCATACTGCCGAAGTCGCGTCCAGAAGACTGGACATTCATGTTAACAGAACGTTGGTCCCCTATTTAGAACACAACAAAATTAAAATTAATCCCGCGAAGACAGAAAGTCTTATTCTGTCTCATAAAACAGACAGAATAATAAACAAAATTAAAGTTCAAGGACAGGTCATTGACACCAAGGATGACATGAAATACCTTGGCTTTATTCTAGATAGGAGACTAACGTTCAGAAAACACATATTGGACCGAGTATCTAAAACCACAGGCGCATTTAAAACCCTTTATCCGCTGCTACACAGGAGAAGTGGAGTTTCAACAGCAAATAAACTTCTTATTTACAAACAGGTACTCAGGCCAATATTAACATATGGATGTCCGGTTTTTTGTTCGATGGCACAGACACATTACAATAAAATTCAAATCATGCAAAACAGGTGTCTTCGGCTGGCATTGGGGTATGACCGCTATGCCAGAATACAAGACATGCATATACAAGCAGCCATGGAGCCGATTAAAGATCATATACTCAGGATTTCTGAGAGATTCTACTCCAAATGTTTAACAGATACTCTTAAAGAAGACATCCTCTCACTTCATGAAAGAGATGGTGCAAACAGGGTCCATGGCTGTTTGCATAAAGCACTTAAAATCTATAAACGAGACTAAATACAGCCATCAGCTCACGACAGGACGTGGACTAGGCGCTGCTACTAACTGACTCACAGCAGCGAGCATTACACTGAATTGCCAAATCCTGAAGTCGGCTAGCTATCAACTCTAGTCGGACGGAAGACTGCACAGTAACGTCACAGCTTGGTGCAAAAATTCGTGGCCTGCTAGTTTACCTAGAACTCTTCTATGACTACAAAACAACAAACTGGACCAAGTACAAGGACACACTGAACAACCACATCGTAATTAACAACAACATTACTACAGAGACGGAAATTGACAATGAAATAGACAAACTAACCAACGCCATTATTAAGGCAAGAGACGCCTCTACAGTAATTAAACAAATAAAATCGCATCACGAAAACATCACACAGGAAATTCAGGACATGATTGACAACAAAAATCACATAAGAAAACGCTGGCAGAGACATAGACAAAGGGACGATCGAATAAGACTTCTAGACATCTCAAAAACAATTAACGCCGCTATACGAGACTTAAAAAACAAAAAATGGACAGACATATTACAAAATCTCAAACCACAAGACAATTCATTGTGGAAAGTTGCTAGACAGTACAAAAAACCGTTTACGCAACTTCCCACACTGGAGGACAATAACGAACATTACACAACAGACACAACTAAAGGGGAAGCGTTGGGGGAATACTTCCAAAACAACTTCACAAACAACATTCAAAATAATATTCAACAGCAAATAATTGAGGACGTCGTAAATGACATTAGGCTCCTCCCACAGCAAACAGTTCCGACCAATCAGCTGGTCTCACCACGAGAGGTCAAACTAACAATTTTGAAATTAAATAATAGGAAAGCACCCGGACCAGACGAAATCACAGCCCTTATGCTTAAAAAACTTACGAGAAAAGCCATAGTCCAGTTACATTATATTATTAATGCCATTTTTAAAACACAACACTACCCCAAAAAACTAAAAATAGCCAACATCATCGCGATTAAAAAACCGGGTAAAAACGCTAAGCACATTGGGAGCTATCGTCCGATCTCCCTTCTTAACACACTTACCAAAACAATAGACATGATCATTCTTAATAGACTACGAACAATTGAACTAGACAAACAAATAATCCCACGGGAACAGTACGGGTTTCGACAAGGCCATGGTACAGTAGCACAAGTAATAAAAATAGCTCATCAAGCTATGGAAGCCTACAACAATAGAAAACTTACTGTATTAGTAGCGCTTGACACCGAAAAGGCATTCGACACAGTATGGACCCGTGGGCTTATTTATAAAATGTTTATAAATGATTTTCCTGTTTACATTGTAAGAACGATTCAATCTTACTTACTAGACAGAACTTTTTACATAAAACTAAACAAAACTTTAACAGGACCATTCAATGCAGAGGCGGGGGTACCCCAGGGTTCGGTACTTTCGCCGCATCTGTACACTATTATGACCCATGACATGCCCATGGGTACTAATGGTGTACAGACGGCACTGTACGCCGATGATACCTGCGTGTACAAGACCTCGGAGCTGGCTGAAATCGCGAACAGGAGGCTTGACATTCACATCAACAGAACATTAATTCCCTACCTGGATGCAAATAAAATGAAACTAAATGCAGCTAAAACAGAAAGTGTAATTCTCACGAGAAAAAGAAAAGGCAACTCAAAAAGAATACTAAACAAATTAAAAATAGGTGAACAAACAATTGAGGCTAAAAAATCAATTAAATATCTAGGGGTGCATCTAGATAGGGAATTGAGGTTCAAAACACACGTTGAAAATAGAGTCGCGAAAGCTAAAGCAGCCGGAAGAGCGCTATACCCTCTCTTCAACAGTAACAGTAGAGTCAGCCGTGAAAACAAGCTACTCTTGTATAAACAAGTAATACGGCCAATCCTAACATATGGATGTCAAGCTTTCTGTTCAATGACAGAAAGTCATTTCAACAAGCTACAGGTCGTACAAAACAGTTATCTGAGGCTGGCACTGGGTTGGCCCCGTTTCTCCAGAGTAATCGACATGCACACAGAGACATCCATGCCAACTATTAAAGATCATATTCGTAAAATATCAGAAAAATTCTACCAAAACAGCCTTCCGAACGACGTTAAGGAAGATATTTTAAACATAACGGAGGCAAATAGTGCTCATAGAAAGCATGGATGTCTCCATAAAGCACTGACACTATACAGACGCAACTAAAAATACAAAAACAAGACAGACAAACACAGACTGGACTCCTGTGAACAAATTACTGAATGTGCAAATTCAAACCGACTAGACGAAAAATCTGGTCGGACGGTGGACTGCACGGTGAAGTCGAGAATCGAAACGGCGATACTCTCGCTGCCTTGATTTGCGGTTAAACCGTGTAGTTCATGAATTTGTACAAATCAGCCAAAATCTATACGGACAAATTGACAAACACAAGGACAACCCTGTTTTTTCAACGCTTTTTCAGGGATTACGAAACAAAACTAACAAAAGACATAATTACAAGAGAAAAGTTCCATTACCGACGTCCCCTCAAAAACCAAAATTGCCATATAATATCATAGATAAGGAGATGGCACTTAATATACAGCAACTTTTTAAACCACTTGCATTAGTGATGACGGGGTACGAGACGACGCCCACATTTCTCAAGCTTAGGCCAGAGGATTGAGGCGAAGAATTCGACGAAGCGTATATATGTAGTGGTAAATTATATTGTAAATAGTAAAATGAATAAAATTTTTGAGTTTGAGTTCTAGGAAGTAGTAGAGTGGATCCACGCTATTTTTTGAATTCTTGAGTGACAGCTGTCAAATAAATATTTTTCCAAAATATCATAGTTTTTCCTTCGCCAGTGTAAGTACTCCCAGTGTTCAGGGAAGCGGTCAATGACCGGGCCCAAAGGGGCACTTCAAGCAGCCGTAGAAGGCTTTGAAACTACATATTCGAAGCGCCTCAAAACAAGGTTTAACGCCGAAGCACTTAAGAAAGTAACAACCACCACAACTTTCAAATCCCCCAAAATTGGCAAAAACAAACTGAAAAATCAATTTGAGCAAACAACAGTGAGTACTGAACAAGTAAAACTAACACAAACTAATCCTGGGGTCAGCTGTACGACACAGGAGGCCCCCCTGGCAAAAAAATTGGCGGTTCGACCTTCACCTGACCGTCAAGGTGTTGGCGAGGCGGTAGAAACGCCGGCAAAACAATTAGAGGTGGAAACAACACGTAAACCATCGGTGGCAAGTTCAGACGAATCCCTCGAGTACCTGGATAGTCAGGAGGAAAATTCCAATGACATCCCAGGAAGTAGTTACGACGAAACAGTGCAAAAATTAATAAACGAGCTTGAAGGAACATCAGATTCTATGGACTCATTAAATAGCACGGAAAACATGGATGTTACTGTAGTAGAACCTACTAATAAAGAACCCGGCGAAAAATCCCCGGACGAATTCGTATCCTCGTACGTCACAGACGAAAAAGGTGTACAATACAAGACACTTAGTCTACCCCCGAATGTATTGAATAATCTATTGGATTTCAACACCAATAAATTTAGCGAGAATACAGCTACTAACACCCTCTCACAAACTGGAGGTGACGCAAATGCCCAAGGCGGAGGTGAATTGAGTAGCTTCCAATTTGGGTATACACCCTCACCTGCAGTCTCTATACTAGGCTCACAGGTAGACATGAACACAGTCACCTTAAAAAACACCGGCACGATAAATAAAAATTACCCGCAAAATGATCCAAGAACCAGGAGAACGGATATGCCAAGGAGAGTTACAGACAACATACTAAACTATGAATCTAGTATAACCTCAGAAGAAGAAAATAGACATCGTTTTGATAACTTTGACAGGTTCCCGCACTCGCCGAACAGCTTGTTCGAGTTTAGAACCCCTGCAGACAGAGCCAGACACGAACAAGAGGTTAGAGACCTCGAATTAGCTAAAAAAGCCAGCGTAGAAGAGCCCTTCATAGCGCCGAGGAAATTCTCTTCAAATTTCGAAAAGCTAATTAAAGAAAAAACTAAGAAAACTATTACAACAACTAAAAACAAGTTTGCGCCTCTTACCGATGAGTCTGATGATGACTCAAACGATGACGAAATCGGTAAGATCGTAAAAAAGCGGAAAAAAGGAGCTAAATTCAGGCCACTAGATTTAGAAAACCTCCAGACAAGTAATAATGCAACTAACACACAAAATGCAGCAGCAGCGCAAGTTGGACCTAACAAAAACGCAAATAATAAGACAAACATGGGAAAAAACGGGAATTTTCAAGCCAAACCCACAAAAAAAACTATGCCCCCTATTGTAATCGACGGTAAGACCAAGAATCAATCCTCACCCATAAGAGATCTCAAACAACAGGTAAAAGGAGAATTCAGTGTGAAACACACGAGTGCTACTACAATTATCTTCGTAGACGACAGAGAAGATCACAGTAGAGTGATTAATAACATAAAGAGCGATAACATTCCCTATCACACATATACAGCCAACGCAGATAAGTCTCACGCTTTCGTGCTGCGAGGACTAGCAGATGGCACGAAAATTGAGGATATCGAGAATAACCTAGAAGAAGAACACGAAATAAAAGCTAGGTCCATATTCCAAATGAAGACCAAGGACAGGCCCCTATTTTTGGTAGTGACTGATCCTGCGATCACCCTAGAATATTTGAACAAGAACGCGAGAAGAGTCCTTTACACTAGGGTGACGTGGGAACTACGAAAGTCAATGAAGCAAATAATACAATGCCACAACTGCCAACAATGGGGGCACGCTACGTCCAACTGTGGTAGGCCTTCAAAGTGCGTAAAATGCGCGGGTGATCACCATACCCGTACTTGTACTAAAACGAGGGATACTCCGGCTATTTGCGTTAACTGTGGGGGTGATCACCCAGCCAACTACTCAAAATGTGATCATTATTTAAACAAACTCGAAAGACTCGAGGAAAGGAAACCGAGACCCAAGCAGAAATTTGTTCCCGCCCCCAAACCCAGCGTGAACCAATGGGAGGCCAGGCAACAAAAGAGAGATCAAGGCAAAGAATTTCCGGCCCTGCCCACCAAAAATAAAATCGAAGCAAACCAAGACAAGAAGAAATACGTAGAAAGATCAAATCAAAACACTGCAAACTCGACCATGGACGATTTCTCGGCGCTAAACTCAGAATTTGAACAATTGAACAGGTTAGTCAATATTGGTGAATTAACTAGAGCGGTCAGAGAACTGAACGCAAAACTTATAAAATGTAGAAACGGGCAGGAAATTATAGAGACGTATAATGCGTTCATGCAAAATGTTGACAGTAACTTCAATTTGAGGAACTGAACTTAATTCTAGAGACAAACACAAACTCAAAATTTGTTTTTACAATGCAAATGGGATGCGTAACAAAACATCACTTGTTCGCAGTTTTATTCACAAATATAACTTTGATATTGTACTCATTACAGAGACACACTTTAATCCTACGCACAAAATTAAAATACAAGGGTATGATATCATCCGACAAGACAGACCGGATCAGTCTTGGGGTGGTGTAGCTTTCATTATCAAATCTAATATTACCTTTCAACATCTTCCAAATTTAGACATTAGAGAAGAGCACTTAAAAATCAAAATAAATAACATTATCTTTATAGGAATGTATAATAAACCAACCAATGTAATAACGAATCTCGAATTAAATAAAATTATGTCGTCAGGTAACAGAGTCCTCCTATTGGGTGACCTTAACGCGAAACACCCCCACTGGGATGCTAATTGCGCGGTTCCTAATGCAAGCGGGAGGAATTTGAATCAATTCGCCGAGAGCAATGACATAATAATACACTACACTGAAGATCCCACCCACTTTCCCTCATGTCCCACATACCTACCCAGTACCATTGACATAGCGGCTGCCAAAAACCTACCAAACATAGACAAAACAAGGACAATCAAAACACTGACATCGGATCACGATCCTGTATACTTGGAGATTGGCACTACGTGTCCGATTCCAAGGATGCAGGGTCGTTATCACGACTACAACACGACGGACTGGACAAAGTACAGGAAGACACTGGACAGTAACATAACAATTACAAACAATATTACTGACAGAAACTCTCTTGAGGAAGAACTAAATAAACTAATAAAGGCAATACACAAAGCCAGAGATGTATCTACAAAAATAATAACACATAAACCCCATAAAGATGATCTTCCTCAGGAGATTTTAGACTTGATAACAAACAAAAACCAAATACGAAGACGCTGGCAGGCGCAAAGACAGGCCGCTGACAGGGTTTTGCTCCAAGAACTAGGGAAAGCTATAAATAAAGAAATCCAAGAATATAGAAACCTACAATGGCGCAAAACTCTGGAAGCGATTAACGTAAAAGACAACTCAGTGTGGAAAACTGTGAGACGGTTTAGAAAGCCGTTTTCGCAGCTTCCCACACTGAAACAAAACAACAACACATACTCGACTGACCAAGAAAAATGCATTGCTTTCGGTGAAATGTTTCAAAATAATTTTAGAAATACACAAGTAAATGACAATAAACAGACTGAAATTCGCAATATAGTACAAGATATTAAAAATCTTCCAATACAAAAAATAGAAAGTAACATGTTAACAACACCAAAAGAAATAATAGAAATAGTCAAAAGGACCCCCAGTAAGAGGGCTCCGGGACCTGACAATATACATAATAAACTTTTGAAAAATCTATCAAAAAAAGCCTTTGTTCAAATACATTACATCATCAATGCCGTTTTAAAACTACAATGGTATCCGGACGCATTAAAAGTTGCTAATGTCGTTCCGATACACAAAAATGGTAAAAATAGATTCGATATTGAGAGCTATCGCCCCATTTCTCTTCTAAGTGGCATCGCCAAAATCACAGATCGTGTCCTGCTCACGAGGCTACATACATACGAACAGGACAACCCGATTATCCCGTCGGAACAGTACGGTTTCAAAGCCGGACACAGTACGATTGCGCAAGTACTCCGTATAACACATCATGCTAAAAAGGCTATGAATCAAGACAAACAAACGGTGCTTGTCGTGCTCGATGCTGCGAAGGCGTTTGACACCGTCTGGACCGATGGGTTAATCTACAAGATGTTTGTGAATGATTACCCTGTTTTCATTGTAAAAACAATACAAACATACTTACTCAACCGTAAATTCTACGTCAAAATCAATAATTCGAGACATGGACCCTACACAGCAGAAGCGGGAGTACCTCAAGGTTCGGTACTTGCGCCGCATCTGTATACCATCATGACCCATGATTTTCCCATGGGACAGAATGGTATACAGACGGCTCTGTACGCCGACGACACCTGTATATTCAAAACATCGGATTCAGCGGAAATTGCGACCAGAAGGCTGGACATTCATGTCAACAGAACGTTAGTCCCCTATTTTAAAGCCAACAAAATTAAAATAAATCCCTCCAAGACTGAGAGTCTTATATTAACGCATAAAAAACAGGAGGGTATTATCACCAACCTAAAAGTGCAAGGTCAGGAAATCATAACAAAAAATACCATGAAATACCTTGGTTTCGTACTAGATAGGAGACTAACGTTCAAAAAACACATTGAAAATAGATGTGCACTGGCTACGGGTGCAATAAAAGCCTTATACCCCATGCTGCATAGGAGAAGTGGTGTTACTACAAGTAATAAGCTCCTCTTATATAAGCAGGTTATAAGGCCAATTCTTACATATGGAAGTCCAGTCTTCTGTTCGATGGCGAACACTCATTACAATGCATTACAAATTCAACAAAACAGGTGTCTTCGACTGGCGTTGGGGTATGACCGTTATGCCAGAATTCGAGACATGCATATTCAAACATCCATGGACACTATAAAAGACCATATTCTCCGCATATCTGAGAAATTCTATGACAAATGTCTCCCCCCAGAACTCAAGGAGGACATAACATCAATACATCAAGGGGATGGTCTAACTAGAAAACATGGATGTTTGCATAGAGCACTCAAGATCTATACAAACGACGGATAATGATAATATAAAATCAACAAATGACACACATCCACCTTAGCAGCGTAAAACCCACTGAATATTCGAATTACAACTCAGACTAGACAGCAACTTTGGTCGGACGGAAGACTGCACGGTGACGTCACTGCCTGGTGCAAAACTCGTGGACTGCCAAGATTTTTGTGCGAGGCTGTGATGCCGCTGTACGGTCGTGTAACTCGAATTTTCACGTACATAAACTATCACAAGACGCACTTACAAACAAGGACAACCCTGTTTTTTACGAACGGTTTTTCAGGGAAATACAGACACAATTAAAATCACACAAAAACCTAATACTGTCCCATTATCGCTCTAGTTATCACTAAAATTGACTAATAATGTTGTTTTACAACAAGGAGTAGTCACTAGTACTCAAATATTAAATATTAACCTTTGTTTACACGGTCAGGACATCGGCCATGGTCTATCTGGATCAAAGTGGAAGAGAATACTTCTTTGAAGACGTAAGAAGATATCCTACACATATAATGTAAATAGATTGTTATTATAAAAAATTTGTATATATTGTAAATAAAAGCCTTTTTGAAATGAATGAATGGCCTGCCTCGAAGTTTGTATCGAGCTGGGATGCTACCGTGGAGTCAGGGGATTTGGTATTCTCAAGTACGTAAACTAACAAGTGACTTACACACATACAAGGACAACCCTGTTTTTTATATTGGTTTTCAGGGATGACAGACAAAATTAAAATCAGACAAAAACTCAATTCAACATCCATTACCGATCTAGTTAACACACTTAATTAACTTATAATGTCGTTTACGACAAGGAGATGTTATTAAATTCTCATTATCTAAATAAATAACATCTAAGCACACGACCTCGACAGCGGCCATTGCAGATAGGGAACACTTCCAGGAAACTACAGGAAGAAATCCAACTGTATTTATATATATATTTATTATTTATGTATAATAGGTTTAGATAGTTATTTAAAAGTTGTATATACATTTTAAACATTGAATAAAGATTTTGAAAAGAAAGAAACGAGAAACCCACGATTGTTGCCTCGATGGACGGTGCATCGAGCAGCCTGCCTGTGAGCTGTAATACTGAACAACAGACTAAACAAACAAACTATACACACAAGGACAACCCTGTTTTTTCTAGCTTTTTCAGGGGACAAAAACCAAAACACAAACGCGACATATCCTTCTACAAATTCCCATTACCGATCCCAAAACAACCCTAATCCCTCAATAATACTGTGCAGTAAGGAGTGAGGGCCACAATATTTGACCATTTTTTACAGGATAGGGGGTAGATATAGGTTGGACAAGTCCGGGCGGACGATTGACCGCACGAAAGGAAGATCCCCGGTAGTGTTTTTTGTATTTTCAATCCTGATATGTATATAAATTTTTTAACTGTGTAAATAAAATCTTGTTATGTTATGTTATGTTATGTGTATTTGCCGTGTAGACTTCACGATTTGGCGGGACTAACGGGAAACTAAGACATGACGCACATACATACAAAGACAACCCTGTTTTTTGCAACTGGTTTTTCAGGGAAGACACTCAGATAAGTAAAATCCGACAAAACTATAGACATTTTCCATTACCGATCTAACAAGCTCACTAAAATCGCCACATTATGCTTCTCAAGCAAGGAGGTGGTGGACTAACAGCATAATTATAATTTAACGGGGATGGTAATATGGCTATGAGATCGGCCATGGCCTATTTTAGGTCATTATAGGACAGAGCTGCATG